GCAAACAACGTGTAACTTCAACTTTCGAGACTTGTATCCGATTTTATTCCGCCTACGACTGGCCTGTCCCAGCGTGACTGCCGAAACCTTTGCAGGCTTAGAGAAGGCGTTGTTGTAGCACTGCAGGTCGAGATTCGGGTGCGTCCTCGCTGCGCGGCGGATGGCTCTGTTCAGGGTGCCCTCGTGGTCTGCTTCCAAGCTTCGGCCCGTTGGAGTCCTGCGGTCCTGCTTGGCTGTCCTCGGTAGGCTCTCAGGATCTCTGAAAGCGAGCTTAGGCTGGAAGAGCTACAGAGAGTGCGAGCTAAGATCGGGTGCCATAACATGGATCTCCTCTTGGCGCAGCACCAGCGCGCAGCAGAGGACATCTGCTCCTGCCCGCCCCCTGCCGGTATGGATGTGCAGAGACAGTCTGATTTTCCTTGTCTTGCGAGCAATGCGGGCACGGTATAGTACATAGCCAGGAATCTCGGATTGCCCGCAAGATGTGCTTCAGCTTGCCTTAGCACAGCGCCGCGATCTGGCCCACAGAAAGACACCTAGGCGGGTAGGGCGGCTGAGCCTCTTGAGCCAACGGCGGCGAACCGCTGCTAATGCATGCTCCCGTGTTTGCATCCCGGCCGTCCTAGTCTAGTCGTGAGTCCGTGCAGCCAAAGTTAATGCGAAGCGCATCCTCTCTATCGGCCTTGCTTCGATCATGTGCTGCCATGGCGCCGCAGACTGGATCATAGTCCAAAAGGCTTTGGATGAGGACGACTGTCCCTGCAAAGCCGCATCGGGCTGTTTACGAGTGTTTGCGGCAAGACCTGTCGGAAGAAAATTATGAAAAAGTTGAAGACCCTCAAATTGCATCGTGTTGGCAGCGAGCAGGACGACGACACGGCCGAAGAAGCCAACCGTGTCATGGCAAGAATGGATGTTTTGCACGAACTTCTGATTCACGTCCTGCCTCGCTTTGTACAGCCAGTCCAGACTCATGCGGAAGTTTCAGACAGTTGCGCTCTGGCAGCCCTTCACTCGGGCTGCTGCGCAGGTTGATGAGCTGCTCCCGCTGCGCTTGGTGGGTGACTTCTGCAGTTGGCAGGTGCAAAGGGGCACCACCTTAGCAAGGTTCTCGCACAAGATTGCTTTACGATACGATCAGATCGACTAGTGATAGCACCTTGGGCATCTCGCAGAGGATCCGGGTGAGTATATGCGGAGGCAGTCTTCGGAGCTACCACTGTCGGTTTCAGGAAAACAGTGCTCAACTTGAACGCTAGCTTCCCAACATGTCCCATCTCGAACTGCGCCATGCATCACAACGTGAGAGAACTGCCGGTTCGTAACAAGCCTGGTGCGACCACTTCCTTGCAGGTGGAAGTCCCGGGTTTGGAGCTGTCGCCATGTGGCTCACTAGTAGGCTGGGAAGCACGAGTGTGAGCTGGAATGCCAGTCATCAGCTAGTCATCTGGGCATGCTTGTTCGGATGCGGGGCTTGGTTCGAGAAGCACGAACACTGTAGTTGCCTAGAAGAAGGATAGACGATACTCGTGATGAATCAAGAGGACGGCATCACGAAGGAAGATTCTGCCACCTCCACACAGTTGTTGCGAATGCATTGAAGTGAAATCTGTAGCCGCCGGACAGTCCAGGGGGAAAAGTCCTGGAGTATGTTCTGCAGATGCAGCTGGAGGACATCCCCATCGGTCGCACATGGCAGCAGTCGCCTTCTACCCGTCAGCCTTTGCGGAGGAGAGTTCGCTCGAGTTCCAGGTTGTCAGCAGCCCACTCGGCTTCAAAGTTCGCCTCTACCCCAAGGGCGATGGCTTGGTGAAGGCTCAGCGCTCCTGGCTTTCGAGCATGTCTGCTGCTACTTTCTGTGCCTTGCGTGGGATGTTCCGTCTCAGGCAGAGGATAAGATGGGGGCGTCGGAGGCCAACGCGGCCGTCGGCGGTTGCAACGACGGCCACGGCAGGACAAGCAAAGAAGAGCCGGTGAGCCCGTTTCTGCTCTGCGCTTCCAGGAACTTCCGCATCCAGTTACCGCAGGCTCTTGCCTCGGCTCCCTTTGTCCCGATGCCTCGCTTGGGTCACTCAGGCTGGAGACCGGGTTTGCGTGCTGGTGCGACTGGCTTTGGGCAGCCAGGGCCTTTGCAGATCCAAGGTTGTGTGATGGATAGGGTGTTGCGTGGCTGGAAGATGCTGGAAGCTATGTCTTTATGACATGTCAGCAACGCTGCAAGAGCTGAAAAGTTGGAAACATGGAGATATGAGCTCGCAAGAGAGACCAGAAGACCTTTTCCAAAGCCCTTAAATGAGCATATTTAAAATACTTTCATTTGCAGGCTTTGGAAAAGGTCTTGTGAACCCACGTGCAAGGCAAAGGAGCCCAGGGGGCACCAATCGCTGCGCAGGCAACCGGAGCATTCAGTCTTTCAATCTCCGTGCGGTGTGTCTGACTTGTCTCTCTGCTGTTCATGGCCAATCTTGTCGTCTCCTGACTACCGTGAGGTGACCTTTGCCAAACCTGGGGCCAGGCTGGACCGAGTGCAATCAGAAAGTGTGCCGGGGATGATGCAGGACACTACTTGCAGGCTGGAGTTTCATCATGTGAAATGCCAGGGCGGCGACCTCCTGTGTAAGCATCAACGGTGGGAAGCTCACAGTCATCGACTCCAGTGGGGCCGATCAGCGACGACAGGCTATTGGCCTACATCCGCACGCATCAGCACATTCACCGCGTTGTTTGCACCCGAGCTTCGCTTTCAGCAGGTTGCGTGGAGCAGTGATCCCCAGAGCCAGCGATTGCCGCAGCTGCTGCCGCTGCAGGGACCTCAGCCCTTGCAGCGCAGAGAGGGCCTCTTCAATTTTGAAACATCATTTTTTCCAACTATTGCCGCCTCCTTTGTGCAGTGCTGGTGCCAATCGCTGTCATTTTCGTATGGGGTGCCACTAGTTGTAGTCTTGAGCTTGCACGGCCGACGAATTTCGAGACCCTTTAAAGAGTGCTGAACTGGTTTACCACCCTCCTTTTTTATGCGCCTATTCCTAGAGGCGGCTGGTCGGCCAGCCTTGCAACTGGCGATTGGAGCAAGCAGGCAAAGTCGTGGGATGCTCCGCCTTTCCTGTTTCTGCTGCATGTCGCTGCTTTGCGAGCTCGCCTGCAAGTGTGGCCTGTTCATTTACCAAAGCGGTCGATGCTTGCAACGATCCCCGTGCAGGCTTGCTGTTTTCTGCCATGCAGATCAGCTCGTTCGATGCAGGTGCAGCATTTCGGATCTTTACATCAACAGACTAGGTCGAAACTGCCAATAGTAACAAGGTCGTGGTTCAAACAAGTCTTTGAAATTCAGACCGCCGAGTCTTCCTTGACCGTCGATTGTAGTCAGATGCAGAACTATGCCAAAGTCCTTTTCTCATTGGGCTGCACGCAGCAGCCTTGGTCGAGGGTCAAGGCAGCCCCAATTCCTCGCCTTTCCGTACGCTTGGGCAATGCCAGGATCCGGCTGGCAAGGGCATTGCCTCTGCCTACGTCTGCTTACAAGACAGGTGCGACACAAGTTTTCCTTGAAGCATTCAAATCCCTCACATGATTCTTCTGTCACGCCCAACGGGCAGTCTGGGATCACTGGTGTCTTCTTTCAGGTAGATTTTCAGATCGTCAGTGGCAAGCTTGGCTTCGGCTGGCGGTTGTTCCCAGAGAGTTGCTTGGCTGCCAGTGGTTGTTTGTCAGCCCACTGTCGACACTTAGCACGCTGTTTTTGGCCTCTAAGCCTGAAAATGCAACGGTGCCTCGCAACTCTGCCCGAGCTGTGGTGAGGTGCCGTAGCTGGCCGGATCAGGGAATGCGGCCGAAGCCCGGACGACTGTACGGAGATGATCATTGGTGGGAAGGTGTGGCCGCAGTCTCTACTCTACCAGAGACGCAATGCGGGGCTCGGGTGTGCGGGGTGGGGGTGGGGGGGGGTTGACAAGATCTGGAAGGAGCTTTCTTTGCGTCAGCTGCTTTGCGTTCTGAATGTTAGGATGTGTGTGAGGAGGGAACTTTCGCTGATCAGGATGACGGCGCTGGCCTCAACTTCACGATCAGTGGGCGGCCACTCAATGCCACCCGGCCGAAACTACGGACCCCATGGCTTGGTGACGAGGGGCTAATGCGGCTAATGTGCACGTGTGCTTTCACATTCGCACAACCTTTCGAAAAGTGGCACCCCTTTCAAGAACTCGAACTAGTCGTATCACTGGCTTAAACCGAGGTGATCACAATCTACGTTTGGCTCAAAGTGCGGGAAGACAAAGTTGCAGCTGCTCGAATAGGCGACCGTGCAGCATGCAATTTGGTGTGTTGACGTGTATTCTGGTCTCAAAAGAATCTTCCTTCCGTCTGATCGCCCGACAGGCTACTTGGCACCAGGGAAATACCACCCTGAGAAGGAAGAGGAAACAAAGCCAAAAGTTGCTGTCGGTGCCCGCCACTTGGCAACAAAATGTGCAGCTCTAAAGCCAGGTGCAGATACCACATTGGCTTTCGGAACTGGTTCAGCACCCGATTCTGCTACTGCTACGCGGCGGGGCAATCCTAGACCGTGTGGGGCGGAAACCGGATCAAAGATTTATCAGAGAGCCGTGCAAGGGACGTACTCTCAATCCCTTGGTCTCTGACTCTCTGACTCTCTCGCTCTCTCGCCCTCTCACTCTCCCGTTTTCCTTACTCTACTCCCCCACTCTCGCATTGTCTCAGTCTCAGTATGCACTCTGGAATTATCTCTCACTCTCTTATGCTCTCACCCTCTCGAAGTCTTTATGACGTGCAGTCTAGTGGTTGCAGATCGTGAACCATTTCTTCCATGTGCTCGTGTCATCCATCGCGCTCGAGCATGATATGAACAGGAGCACTACGCTATCCCCGGGCATGCGGATGTAAAGCACTCTTCGCAGTCACTGAATTGGATAGTTACGCAACCGTGGCACCGATTCATTTGTCAGGTTGCTAATTCCAGTTGCCAACAAATAGGGGCATGCTAGCTGTGATTGGCAAACGAAACCAGGAAACCCACAGTATCGGCTTATAGGGAGAGCAGCTTCCTATGTGCAGACTGCCTGTGGCACTGGGCAGTTGGGTTCCAAGACAACCAGGTCGTGTGCAATACCCGGTGCCCCAGCAGATGACGCCTCTGGGTCCGGAGATTCTGGAAGCCGCCGAAACCGAGGAAGAGAAGAAGGCTCTTCCCATTCCCTGATTGCCGAAACGCAAAGCCTTTAAAGTTGAAGACGTGTTTGACTAAAGCGTTCTGCTGGCTGGAGCTGTGCTGGCCCAAAAGCCAATAGAATGGGTTGCTACGTTTCAAAATCCGCATCCACTGCTCCTGCTACAGCTGTTTG